TCTCGAGAAAGGGAAGCGCTGGCTTTCGTTTTGCAGCTTCTCAGGTAATGTAATATAACATGTCATTATTAGCACTAGATATTGTTGAATCATGTTGAATCCATTTTGAGCGAACCCCTGATGTATGGACATGGGTTGATGCTCCAAAACACTGGGGTCACTCAGCTTCGACTGTCCATTTGACACCAAACTCTCTTTTGTCTCGTGTACTGTAACAACTCATGATGCAAGTCACTGGATGTTCAAAAAATCAACACTTTGGGTTTGAGGGTGGCCATTGGATGGGAGATGTTTTTTTTCAGCACCGAAGCCAACATCAGCTGGAAACCACTGGACATCTGCCAAATGAAGGCACTCCTCATTCTTCTGCTGGGTGGTGTTGTGGTCTGACTGGTCCTTTGAGCAAAATCCTGCATATTTTGGTAGACGAGAAGTGGATGTGAGTAATGTCTTTGAAGCGTCACCCAAGCCGCCCCTGAGAGGGTGATTGGAGACACTTGTTTGTATGCTTAGTGAGGGTCGAAGTACCTTCTGAGAAGGTATGTGGATCCCTGTGGACCATATACTTGCACAGGCCACCTCCTTAGAGTTGCCACCTGCGCAGCCATTGCGTCGCGTGTGGTCTCTCCCATCGTGTAGCTCGTGGACGCCCCAGCCGGTCGCTTTCCGAGACGTTGGCTGGGCAGAGTGGCGGAGTGATGGAAGAACTCGCTGCAACGTCCTTCCTTACTTTTTCACAGTAAGGATGCTTCTTTTTTTCACAGCAAGGATACTCAAATCCGTCATCGTCTCTCACCTCAACGGGGTCTAGAGTCTAGACAATGGAACCTGTGGGAACGTTGGGAGTATTTTAGCATTTGAGTCCTTCGTGAATGGCAATCCTTGGGGCGCTGATCTTTACTTTTTTTGGACTGCTTGATGCGATGGCCTCCACTTAATAGAGAATGGAAGGGATGCTTCCCGGACCCTTTGGTGCACCTTTTTCTACCTGTGCCATCCATCAGCGCTTTTCGATCGATACGGAACGGCGTTCTCCGTCTCCCACCCAGCCGATGCCATTGCCGCAAGAGTCGATGCGATGGCCCAGCCTACCAGGCGTTGCCGTCGTTGCCATGTCACTGACCAGTGGCTGCAGTCAGATTTAATGGCCCAGCAGTGGACTTCATGGAGAAGTATGACTCCCAGCTTCTTTGGTGGAGCTTGTCCCAAGTTTGAGAGAGATTTGGCCAGCATGTCAACTTGATGCACAAGAAACAGCATGAACCTGTGTACCACTTTGTTGTAACGAACTGGTACTCTACATGAAATTCTACATGCTTTACAGCTAGGAATTAGGACGCCTACCAACTTTTCGAGGTCCCACTGGCTACTTTGCGCTTGCAACTCTGGACCGGAAGTGTTTCTTACTTGGTTGGAACATGTTGGATCACCGACGTGACGCGTGCTTTCCTGGGTTACATGGAGTCCGTTTGAGGTTTGGTTGGCGTTCAGCTCAAACGAGAGCTGTTTCAAGAGCTGTTCGAGCTCTTTGTTCGGATCGTGGACTTGTGAAGAAATCCCCTTTCTGTTCGGTCTGTTTGAATCCGGAATCGTTTGGAAAACCGAACATGTGAGGATCTGTGAGGTTTTCGAGGTGTTCGAAAAGACCCTTGTTTGATGACCACGGGGAAGACAGAAGATAACAAAGGGATGAATAGCTTTTGCATAAGGGGATTGCTATTGGTGGTTCAGGACTTGGGGATCCACTGTCAGGTTGGTCAAGTTCACCCAGGCATGTTCAGTTTCTGCATCGTCAAGTGACGAAGTGAAGGAAGAAGACAACACTCCCACGTATGGAATATATTGGAATATCATATCTAGTACTCTAGTACATTGACCCCAATGTAGCTAATTACCGTATGCTACATACATGGAATGTTGGGATATGCATGTCAATTACTTGGAGCGCTGAAACCTTTAGGGAACGCTGTAAGGGCTGAAGAGGCTCTTGAATTTTCCGATGTCCTTGTTGGTGCGATATGCTGAAAACATGCATCACATTTGGAGACATCGTTGTCAGTTGAAGAAATCAATCCTGACCACTTCCGGATCTAGCCCTGATTCTCCTTTTGCATGGAGCCATGCCTGGATCTCCAGTGTGTGGCAAACCTCGTGGCAAACCTGCTGCCGCGGCAGTTGCCCGCGGCAGAGGTTGAGCGCGCACCCGGCACTGAAGCTGCCCAAAAAGGCGTCCTCTGGCAGACAGGAGTGGGTTTCGGGCAACATTATATAGCAAACCGATAGGGAGCTATAGGGAACAACTGGGAACAACACAATCTCACTCCCAGAATCAGTAGCATCGCAGCGGCCATGCCAGCCCCCCAAGATGAACCCGATAGAACTCGCGGCGTGGAACAACTCGCTGAATGAATTCATTGAATTCTGCTGAATGATGTGGACATCAATCCAACTGTTGAGAAGCCACTGCAGTACCGATCACTGTGTCGTCGTGACGGCACTCATACAAATTTTGGAGAAAGAATGAAACATAATAGGAAACATGGGACATGATACTCGTTACCCAACTTGATAACATGTGTTACCCAACCAGCTGTGCAGTGGATCTGTCTCCAGTGGTGTGACCCAACTTTGGGACGGAGACAGATCCACTTTTTGCTGCTTTCGCAGCATCACCGTGCGCCTGCCGCGGATGTATCCACTTGTTGGACGGTAGGCCCTTCCCGTTTGACCTTGCATCCACTGGGTGGTTCCTGCGTGCTGCTTTTAGTCAGAGTGATACCTTTTCCTCAAAGAACCTGGAATGGCCTTTGGGGAGCATGTTAGACTATTCTTATCCACCTGCTTCAATCTCTTGGCTGGACATGGTGGTTTGTGATAGTGTGTTGGTGAGACAACGGAATGCATGAAAATGCAAATCACGAAAGCTAGCCTTAGCTAGCTGGAGTTGCTCTTGCTTTAGCAAG